CGCTTGAAACGAACGCGTGACAAGCATTCTTCAGTCGACAACATGCAGGAACTAATCACGAAACCTGTAAACCTGGCCGAATCCTTGCTACTCGCGCTCCGCTACACGATGACAGAATGATTAATTAGGCGGGGGTTACACCACACCCAGCGTCGCGTCCACGATCACGAAATCTTACTCGCAGCTGCGCGGCAGCGCGCGGTTGGCGTGCGTGCGCGCTTACGCCGCGTCGCCCTCCCCTCCGCGCTCCGTCTTGCGGAGGCCGATGTCCAGCCTAGGCTCGGACGGCCGCGCGCAACAGCGGCAGCATTCAGCGGCAGTGCGTACCCTTCCCGAGGGGTCACGACACGGGCGTCGTCGTGTTCAACTCGCAGACGCGTACGAAGACTCCGCTCGTGCTGCCGCACGGCCGCATCGCCACGTGGTACCAGTGCGGGCCGACCGTCTACGAAGACCCGCATCTCGGACACGCGCTCTGCTACGTGCGCTCCGACATACTGCGCCGCCTCCTCGAGGAGTTCTTCGGCATTGACGTTGTCATGGTGATGGGCGTGACGGACGTCAACGACAAGGTGTTCGATCGCGCGCGTGAGCTTGGAGTTGACTATCAGCACGTTGCGAAGACCTGCGAGGCACGTTTCTTCGACGACATGGCCAAGGTCAAGGTACGGCCAGTCCATAGGTAACCCTATCACAGGCCCTAACCGTAACCCTAATTCTAACCCTACCCCTAACCTTAACCCTAACCCTAACCATAATCCTTCCCCCCCCTAACATAGTCACTAACCCTAAACCTGATCCAAACATAGTCACTAACCCTAAACCTGATCCAAACATAGTCACTAACCCTAAACCTGATCCAAACATAGTCACTAACACTAAACCTGATCCTATTTGGATCCTAGGCTATTTTGGAATAGTAGTACAGTACAGATATACATAGCCGTATATATCCTGCTGCATTCCTGCAACTAGCCAGTACTAAAATCCAAGTTTTCAAGTGGCCACTTGCTGTAGGCCGGTACAGTACAATATGTATGAGTAATGCCAAACACATTCATATTTCTGCAGTGAACCTTGTGCAGCCAAACGCAAGCTTTAGTGTCCAGACGACCTCCTTGGAAAAACTTTCGGTTTTCCGAGCTTTTCGGCTTTCAGAATTTCGAATAATAGATTGTGTACTGTACATACATATTATATATATACTAACATTATTATATATTAAACAACTTGACGTCACTGTGCCTTGCGTCTTGCCAGGTGCTGCCACCTACAGTCGTGACGCGAGTCAGCGAACACATTCCTCAGGTCGTCGCCTTCGTCTCGCGTCTCGTCGATCGAGGCTTCGCGTACAAGACGCCTCGAGGCAGCGTCTACTTCGACGTGTCTCGCTACGGCCGCTACGGCAAGCTGATGACTCACAGTGTTGAGGCGGAGGTGCGAGAATCGCACGACCCTGAGAAGAAGCATCCGCGAGACTTCGCGCTGTGGAAGGCGGCGAAACCAGGTGCGCGCGGGGGTCCATTAGGAGTGTTCCCAACTTTGATATCATTAATGATTAATGATTAATGATTAATGATTAATGATTAATGATTAATGATTAATGATTAATGATTAATGATTAATGATTAATGATTGATAATCCTAACCCTAACCCTAACCCTAACCTATAACATAACCCTAATCATTAATGACATTAAAGTTGGGAACACTCCTAATGAAGTATCACCAAACCAGGTGCGCGCGGGGGTCAATGGCGCGGCGCGGGTAGCGTCCGAGTTTATCACGTGTGACCAGTGTTAGCGAAATTAATCACTTGGGGTAATTTGAGCATTTTAAGATGCATATTCAGATTCCTGAGATTCATAGCTTTCCATTGATATATAGATATTGAAAATTGGTTGAAAAATAAATATTTTATGACCATTATGAATTGAGGTGTCATGCGATTAAAATTTCCTGAGAATTGTCTAAAATAAGGGTTGAAAACTTATAACTCATTCAATTTAAGTATGTTTTAATTGAATTAAGAATCCTCGCTTTGCTAGGACCTCGAAACGTGCAAACACACCCAAAAATATTACCACCAGACCTTTTTGGCCAGGAGAAACACTGCCTAATACAAAAGCTAATACAAAAGCTAATATAAAAGCTAATACAAAATAATACTAATATAAAAATAATACTAATATAAAAGCTAATATAAAAGCTAATAATGATAAGAGGTATTATTTTTGGCCGCCGGGAAACACTGAGAGCTAACGGCGTCTGTCTCTCGTGTATTGTAGGAGAGCCAACATGGCGATCTCCGTGGTCGGCGGGGCGACCCGGCTGGCACATAGAATGCTCGACGATGGCCAGCGAGGTGTTCGGACGCAAACTGGACATCCACACGGGCGGAATCGATCTGGTAGGTCACTGTTGGAAATATGGGGCCAGTATGTATGCTGCTGGCCACAATTAAACAAATATTTGTTTGCCCTCACCCGACCCAGGCTGA